CGGGAATAATATTTTGTACCGTTCAATAAATTGTTTAATAATATTTTCGATCAATAATTCATGTTTAAAATAACACATGCAAATCCTGACTTTTATTATAATTTTAGCAGAGATTGGCTTAATATCGGCCGTTCATTATCCATAACTCTCTCACTCTTGTCATATCTATCTATCTATCTATCTATCTATCTATCTATCTATCTATCTATCTATCTATGTCAGCCGTTCATTATCTATCTGTCTCTATCTCTCAATCTCAATCTCTCTCTCTCTCTCTCTCTCTCTCTCTCTCTATACACACACACACACACACACACATATATATATATATATATATGTATATATATTATATGTCAGCTTGTTCATTATCTATCTATCTATCTATCTATCTATCTATCTATCTATCTATCTATCCGTGTATCTTAATTTGTTTCTTTTTCATTCTTTATATACAGGGTGCAATGGGTAAATTTTCGTCTAAATTATCTCATTTTTAATAAGTATATTTATCAAAATTTCACAAAAATATTTTGAAATACTAAAGAGTAAATTTCTTCAATAAAATCGCCATTGGCTTCAACGACGACCTTCAGATGACCTTCCGAACTCTTCTGGGCGGTCTTCTGGTTTAAATTACCCCAAAATGAAAATAATACTGACATCTCATTTTAACAGATATATTTACCAAAATTACACACGAATATCTCGAAATACTAAAGAGTCAATTTATGCAATTAAATTGCCAGACAACATCCGAATCTCCTGCAACTCATCAGGACTGCCTCCTTGTTTAAGCTAGTGAATACTGCCATAATCCTTGCCTTCAGTTCATCTTTGGTGTTACAAGGAGTTTTGTTGGTCTCTTGCTCAACTGCACCCCCACACATAATAATCAAGTGGGGTGCAGCCTGGGGAGCTAGGTGGCGAGATATAAGGGGTGATGTGGTCGCAGAAATTGTCTGACAGTCATAACTTGGTTTTCCTGCTTGTGTGGCAGGGTGCAGTGTCCTATTGCTGGATATAAGGGTCTTCCAACATCCACCCTCTTGATCCAGTGCAGCCCTAATTTCTCAAGATTATATTTGTTATTCGTGTACATTTGGGACTAACTAGTCTTCAACAATCAATGTGTGTTCCATTTAACAATTTCAGGATATTCATATCGTGAGCAGGCAGGTACATAAGGCCGCGCGCAATAGTAATGGACGTGTGGCTGCACGGCTGTATCAGGTTACGTTTCCAGACGAAAGGTAGCCGAGTCATTTAGCCTTTGCTGCTGTTTATCGTCGCGTTGCTTAGACGGGATCTGTGGCCCCACAAACTATAGACTGAGAAAGACCGATTATACGTTTAACAGTGACTACTTTAAACTTTATACCTCAAAAACGAAGGATTTGCGAACATATGTTTTTTATGGACTTTTGCTCTTGATGTGATGTGAGGAACCTGCCCCCCACCCCACCCCACCCCCCAAGTTAGTAAAAGTATTTATGATACACCTTATGGCAAATTACTCTCTCTCTATTTATCTTCCCCCACATTAAACCAACCTTGTGTCATAGTACGACTTCGTGAGGGTCGAGTAAATACCAAATTATTATAAAGTAGTTTGTAATACGTTTATTTATTATGCTCAGTCTCTGGGTAGAGTGCGCTCAGGGGAGGCTCTGTCAAAGGACAGAGTCGCAACAGGAAAATTATAGAGAGGTGCCCAAACCTGGGGAACAGCTGCCCCAGGCCGCGCCTTATTGCACCAGAGAGAGGGATCGGTGCTCGCACCGAGGCCAGTGCAACCGAATTTTTGTTCCTAGTCCGGGTGTATGCGCTTGGGTCCTCACCTTAAAAACTGATCTTGTATCACGTCTTAGTGGCGGAGAAAGAATAAATACCTTAAGATACACCTTGTGTGTGTATGTGTGACCTTTTAGTTTGATGATGAGTAGGTACCTACGTGTGTTAAGTCTTCGAAACATTATGCGCTAGAATAGTTCCTATCTTCGTTGTGAGTCATTTTTTTTATATTTATCTTCTGTATTCCTACTCATAGGAATACTATGGTTGATATTCTGTCAGACCATTTTGTTCTCTACCCAAGCTGAATAACAAATGGCGGAATAGCTGTACGTGAAGAAAAGAAAAAAAGAAAAATGCTTCAAAGAGACGCTACAGCATCCGAAGAAAGTTTCATGCCTACTGGATGCCCTACAGTCATGACCTTGGGCGAGAATATGACGAGCTTAAATACCGCCAGTAGCTTCATACGGTGCAATAGACAAGGTACTAGTCCAACGCACCATTATTGTTATTATGGATGGCCGGTTTGATCCTCATTGGATTCTCCGTTCTAGTGGCTCTGAGTCGTGTTAAGCCAAGTTTAATGAGTCAATATAGTCATAGACTTTCGAGTCCTTTCATAATGGAGCATTTTACGCGTTGGTTTAATGCAAAATGTAACGACTGTAATGGTTTTGATTTCCTGTCAAGTGATCCAAAATGGTGTCCTTTTGATAGACTAAGCTAAGCTTCCTATGGATAGAGAGAGTGCTTTGCCGTGCTGCAAAAGTTAGCTCTCTGAAGCACCATGGGATACATTGCACCCCACTTTTAAACTGTTGTTATCTGCATTTTTATTGCCATCTTCTTATTTTCATCGGCGTAACCCTGAAAATTTTCTTATTCGAGTTTTCTGGTGAATCATAATTCTAAATTTAATGAACGAATAAGCTCTTTACGAGTTCCACGACTATAAAATACTCATGAAAATACTCGTTAAATATCTAAGTTTTTAAAAAAAAAAACATTAGCAAACTATTGCAATAGCAATCATAAGTATGAATGCAGGTCATTATTTCAAGAAGTAAGAGGGTACAAATGAAGACATTTGAAACTGACAAGGTTTTTATTTTAATGAAGCAGAGAGTGTTGTGTTTCCACTATTTTCCTTTTATTTATTTATTTATTTATTTTTATTTATCCATTTTTATTCATGGATGCATTTATTTATTTTTATTTATTTTGTTTATTTATTTATTTATTGATTTTTATTTTTTACTTATTTTTATTTATTTTATTTATTGATTTTTTTATTATCTATATATTTTATTTATTGATTTTTAATTATTTATTTTTATTTTTTATTTATTTATTGATTTTCATTTATTTATTTATTTTTTATTTATTACTTATTTTTATTTATTTTATTTATTGATTTTTATTATCTATATATTTTTATTTATTGATTTTTATTTATTGATTTTTTAATAATTTATCTTTTTTATTTATTTATTTATTGATTTTTATTTATTTATTTATTTTATTTTTTACTTATTTTTATTTATTTTATTTATTGGTTTTTTATTATCTATATATTTTATTTATTGATTTTTATTTATTGATTTTTAATTATTTATTTTTTTTTTTTTTATTTATTTATTGATTTTTATTTATTCTTTTATTTATTTTTATTTACTTTTATTCATTTATTTTATTTATTTATTTTATTTATTGATTTTTATTTATTCATATTTATTTATAGAAACAAAGAATTCCTTCGGAACAATGTGTTAGTGAATTAAAGTTATGATCCATGAATTTGGTGACATAGTACTTGTTAGTTCAATCCCTGGGCCGGGTAGTATGTACTTGAACTCGATAGAAGCGGGCGAGTAATAATTAAGCAGTACTAAAAATAAGACGCGATATCCCTAGACATGGGCAGTGGAACGAGAACAGTCTGCCCCCGTAGATTAAATAAAAGGTTCAGTTCAGAATTACCTGTAGGTTACCCAGATCAATATAAACTTGATGAAGGCCGGAGAGCACGACGGTCGAAACGTTGTGATAACAACAAGAAAGATGAGGACAATAGTTATTGCTATGTCTGCTTTTTTTTCTCTCTCACTAAAACCACACAGTATATCGAATATTCCTGTTTCTTCTACCTCTTCTCGAGATCAAAATGAAATGGGCCCTTATTTATCTGAGGTAATGGCAGAGTGTAGCGCATCTAATAACTTACTAACTAACTGGGAAACGAGAAGAATTATAACATGCCATATCTAGAACAGAGGTTTATAAGTCAACCATTCGTCCTTGCTTTGAATATTACTCCCACATCAGGCCAGGTACACCTGTTATATATTTAGAGATCCTTGATAAAATCCATAAAAGTATCTGCAATATTATTGGTTCTGACCTGTCATCTCGCATTCAGTCCCATTCCCACTACCGCAATGTAATTTCCGTGAGTCTTTTCTATAAATACTTTCATTGCAATTGTTCTGGTGCACTTTAATCTCTTGTGCCTACACTTTATGAATTTAAGCGCACTACTAGATTGGCAGCTAGGACTCATCATTTAACAGTTGAAATGACTAGATGTAACCGTAAGTTCTATGCTAACAGATTCTTCTCTCTCACTTCTCGATTCTCAAACTTTCTTCCGGCTTCTTGCTTTCCAGTCAACTTTGATCTTCAAAAAATGTAAATCTCAATCGTTACCTCTTGTCTTCTTAATTCCTGTTTTTTTTTTATTGTTTTCTCTCTTTAATAGTATTTTCTTCTCATTTTCTCTCAGTAACCTCTTGCGCCTTAGTGACTTTATTGCCTTGCTTGGGGTAAAATAATTTTAAAAAAACATTCTTTTTCACCATTTTGTTTAGTCCCCAGATTAATCAACAGACGGCTGAGTATTTCAAATTGGAAGAAATAGAAATATGGCTTTAGGCGTTAAAGTAATCCATTTAAATGGAATGGGGCTGATTGACTATGAAATTCTGAATAGAATCTGCTCTATTATGAACACTTAATGTTATATACGGGCAAATATAACAATCGATGCAAACATACGCTATTGTGCGTATGTACGCATGCGCACTACGAGAAATCTAGTCAATGGAATTTGACCGGAAGTACTTTATATTCTTGATTTGACAAGTATATGAATAAACTAATCACTGCGAACATATCGTTTAATCGAATTGATCATAGTAAATGCTCGTTCATTCGGTTCGTATATAAATATGATGAGATAATGAAGTCGAGTATTTATCAGGTAAGTTACGAGACATGGCCGACCGGAAGTGATGAATTAAATCTTTAGAGAAAGAGAAGCAAAGAAAGTGAGTCAGTAAGGGGCGAGTGGGTGTTTTGGAAAGAAGAGAGGAAGGGAAAGAAAGAAAGAAAGAAAGAAAGAAAGAAAGAAAGAAAGAAAGAAAGAAAGAAAGAAAATTATGGGCATGTAAACAGAGCAAAAACAGAAAGAAGGAAAGAAGAAAACGATGAATACAAATGAAAGAAACTGGTGGGTAGAGCGTGGAGAGGTAAAAAGAAAAAAAGCTGTTGAATTAATTCGGTTGATAACAGAAAGAAACGTTAGGCATCAAAGAGACGAACGTGTTTGAGGAGAGAATAAAGAAAAAGGGAAAGATATGAACATGAGGAAGCCCCAAAAAGAAAGAAAGAAAATATTTTGGACAATGAAAGAAAAAAGAAAGGAAGACCTTGAAGCAAATAGATATAGATACAAAGATAATATCGCACGAAAAAGAATTACAGAAAGAAAGAATGATTGTTTTTAAAATCAGTATTTAAAAATAAAAACTATGAAGCAAAAATAGAAAGACCTGATTCAAAGAAAGAAAGAAAGAAAGAAAGAAAGAAAGAAAGAAAGAAAGAAAAAGAAAGAAAATCTTCTAAGCAATAACAGACAAATGAGGAAGACATTCAAAGAAAGAAACATTTTTAAACGAAAAAGTTTCATTCGATCAAAGAAAGAAAGACAGAAAGAGAAATATTTTATTCGAAGAGAAAAGGAAGAAAGTTCTTGAAGCAAAGAATTAGAATAAAACTTCTTTTTTTATACAGTGAAAGCAAGAAAGAGAGAAAGCAAGAAAGAAAGGGGAAAAATACTGGGAAAAAAAAACGAAAAAGTTTTTTAAGCAAATCTATAGAATAAGACATTAATGCAAAGAAAGAAAGAAAGAAAGAAAGAAAGAAAGAAAGAAAGAAAGGGATAAAAAAGAAAGAAAAAAGGAAGAAAATAAAGAAAGAAAGAATAAAGAAAGAAAGAAAGAAAGAAAGAAAGAAAAAGAAAGAAAGAAAAAGAAAGGAATAAAGAAAGAAAGAAAAAGAAAGAAAGAAAGAAAGAAAGAAAGAAAGAAAGAAAGAAAAAAAAGAAAAAATAAAGAAAGAAAGAAAAAGAAAGAAAAAGAAAGAAAGAAAATAAATAAATAAATAAAAAAGAAAGAAAGAAAGAAAGAAAGAAAGAAAGAATAAAAAACAAACCAACAAAGCTAATGAAGACAATAGTGGATAAAACAAACAGCAGTAACCGAATGAGGGCGAGTAAAAATGAGGGGTCACAAACCATAAAAGTTCAAGCTAGTAACACACGCAAGGAAAGAAAATATTAATAAAAAGTGAGATTAGACGAAAGAAAGAGAAAAGATGAGAAACTTGAAGAAATAGTAAGCAAAATACCCGGAACCGGAAGCTCAACAGTGAAGTAAATGTGAAGGGGAGATAATCCTGTGGAGAAAGGTCGGTCGATTTGAGATGTTAAGACTCAAGGGTTAATTCCTGCACTTGGCGGCCGCTTGTGTTTGGCAACTCTGCAGAATCAATAGTCAAGCTGATCAGCCGGCTTTCAAACGTTCCACTTCCATTTTTTCCTTCTTATCATCCAATCGACGCTCATTTGAAAAGACTGCTATCTTTACAATGTTAACAAAACGAATATATTAACCAAAAATACGAGACAAGCAAAACACTCTTTGAAATAATAGCTTTAAAATGGAAAGAATAGAATATGGCGGCTTAGTTGTCTTTTTTTTTTTTTTTTTTTAGGGCCAGGGACTTTTAAGTTGGGGATAGATGTGTTAAAATTTGGAAGGGGAGAACATGGATTTTATTTTATAAAAGAAAAAGGTCCCGAATAAATTAGAGGTGAGTTTCTTGTTTGGATATTTGAAGGAGGAGATGGATAAGTAAAATAAGCGATTAAAAGAGTAAAAGATGGAAAAGGAAAGATAAGGAAGGAAATATGAGTGAGACAAAAAGAGGTTTTAAAATACTAGATCAGAAACAATATGAAAGGGAGGAAAAACTTGACAGAATAATAGAAAATAAGAGAAAGTTGAGAATAAAGAATGTAATAAAACTAAAAGATGGAGGAGACGATCGTGAGATAAGTTGAAAAAGAAAGAAAGAAAGAAAGAAAGAAAGATTAATTAAAAATTTTTGCCGGGAAAAGAAAAGAAAAGCAATGAAATGAAAAGAAAAGAAAGAAAAAAGAAAGAATAATTAAAGTTTATGCCTGAAAAAGAAAAGAGAAGAAAATAAATAACGAATGGAAGAAAAAAGAATTTTTGCTTGAAAATAAGAAGAAAGAAAGAAAAGGAAAGAGAGAGAGAGAGAGAAAACGGGCATGTGGAAAGAAAGAAAGAAAGAAAGAAAGAAAGAAAGAAAGAAAAGAAAGAAATTAAAAATTTTGCCGGGAAAAGAAAAGAAAAAGCAATGAAATGAAAAAGAAAAGAAAGAAAGAATAATTAAAGTTTATGCCTGAAAAGAAAAAAAGAAAATAAATAACGAATGGAAGAAAAAATAATTTTGCTTGAAAATAAGAAAAAAAGAAGAAAAGGAAAGAGAGAGAGAGAGAAAAACGCATGAAAAAAGAAATAAAGAAAGAAAAAAAGAAAAAAGAAAGAAAGAAAGAAAGAAAACGGGCATACATATAAAAAAAACGGATGAGAAAAGAAAAATGTGGAAAAGAAATAAAGAAAAAAAGAAAGAAAGATACAACAAAAAGAAAGAAAAACAAAAAAAAGAAAGAAAGAAAGAAAGAAAGAAAGAAAGAAAGAAAACGGGTATGTAGAAATAAAAAAGGAAAGGAAGAAAATGAGTATGTAGAAAGAAAGAAAGAAAGAAAGAAAGAAAGAAAGAAAGAAAGAATGAATAATTAAAATTTATGCCTGAAAAATAAAACAAAATAAAATAAAGAAAGAAAGTAAAAAGAATTTTTGCTTGAAAATAAAAAGAAAGAACTAATAATTAAAAATTTGGTCTAAAAAAAAAAGAGAAAGAAAGTTAGAATTTTTGCTTGGAAAAACAAGAAAAGAAAGGAACAAATAAAAAAAGAAACAAGTTAAAAGTGTTGTTTGATAAAGAAAGAACAAAAGAATAATTTTAATTTTTCCCTGAAAAAGAAAAGTAAAGAAAGAAAAAAAGCAGATAAAAGAAAAAAAAAGTAAAGAAAAAAATATTTAAAAAAACCGAAGCAATGTAACAAAGAATGAAGGAAAGAAAAAGAAAAGAAGAATTAGGACAGGTTTCTGTCTATATTTCTAAGATGAGGTATTATGTACACTATTTACATTATTCGAACTATTGTCCTCATCTTTGTCGCCATATTTATCACAACGTATTGGCCGTTGTGCGCTCCGACCATCTTCTCCCGGAGGACACATGGCACAGTGGATAAAGGCGTTAGTTAGATCCAGTGACAGGACCCAAAGAGTGTGAGTTCAATACCTGGTTAAGGCGGTGGAGAACTTGGAGAGGGGAATTAACAAGAGATAACTGATATTTGACATCCATTAGACATGGCACGTGGAACTAGAACAGTCTACCCCAGTGAGCGAAATAAAGGGTTCAGTTCGACATTCCAACCACCTGAAGAAGGCCGGAGCGTACAACGGCTGAAACCTTGTGATAAATATAATGACAAAGATGAGGACAATAGTCCGAATAATGTAAATAGTGTAGGACAGGTTTGCTTGAGAAAGATAAATGGATCTTTGTCTTTTCGAAGCAAATGTCCGGAAAAAGAAAGAAAGAAAGAAAGAAAGAAAGAAAGAAAGAAAGAAAGAAAGAAAGAAAGAAAGAAAACGGGTATGTAGAAAGAAAGACGATAGAAAAAAACTAGTATGCGAAAAGAAAAAAAGAAAGAAAACGGGTATGCGAAAAGAAATAAAGAGAAAAAGAAAGAAAGATACACAACGGATATGTGGAAAGAAAGAAAGAATGAATGAAAGAAAGAAAGAATGAAAGAAAGAAAGAACAATAAAGAACACATGTTTGAAAATGAAACAAAGTAAAAAGGGGAGAAAAAATATGATTAAAAAATCGAATCAATGTAAAGAAAGACTGAAAGAAAAGTAGAAATAATCAAAATTAGGACACTTGCCTGAGAAAGAAAGAAAGAAAGAAAGAAAGAAAGAAAGAAAGAAATATTGAAATAAGGCAATATATAATTATGTCGGTTAACGTTCAACAGAAATACGTTAACTAACAAGGTTATGAAAGTAGAAAAAGGAATTGAGAGCTTCTAAGGCTGGATTTGGAGAAAAAAAAAACATTCCAAGGCCAGAAATGAATTCGAGTGAGAGAATAAAAAAAATAACAGTGAAAAAAAAGATGAAAACAAGTGGAGAGAGGGGGGGAGAATGTTCGTTACACAAAAGGCAACATGAAAGAGAAATAGATGATGATGATGATGATGATGATGATGATGATGAAATGTGGGTATCGGATCTCATCAGATAATTGAGATGCGAGATCGATTAAATTTCGAAGGTTCCAGGCGAAGAATATAGCAACCTCATTGTCGGCGCAATATAAAGGTTTGAAAGAAAGAAAGAAAGAAAGAAAGAAAGAAAGAAAGAAGGGAATGCATTGAAGTAAAATGAAGGGAGTAACAGAAAGAAAGACAGGAAGAATGAATTTAAAAAAGAAAGAAGTAAGTATATTGAAAAAATACTGGAAATAAGAGGAAGGAGGAATGAAAAAAAGATTCAAAGAAAAATAAAGGGAATTAAAAATATGATTCAAAGAAAGAAAATACAGAGAGGAAGATAGAAGAAGGCAATATGTTGAAGGAAAATAAAGGGATAAAAGGCAATAAAGACAGAAAGAAAAAAGGACTGAAGAAAGAGGAGTCAAAGAAAGAAAGAAAGAAAGAAAGAAAGAAAGAAAGAAATAAAAAATCACACAAAGAAAGTGACAAAGAACAGAAGAAAATGACACAAAGAAAGAAAGGAAGAACAGAAAAAAGTTGACACAACGAAAAAAAGAAAGAAAAAGAAAGAAAAAAGAAAGAAAGAAAGGAAGAAAGAAAGAAAATCACACAAAGAAAAAAAGAACAGAAGAAAAACACACAAATAAAGAAAGTAAGAACAGAAAAAAATTGACACAACGAAAGAAAAAGAAAGAAAAAAGAAAGAAAAAAAGAAAAAAAAAAAAAAGTGAAGAGATGTGATACAAAGAAACAAAGAACAATGTGGAAAAATAACGAAAAAATGATGTCAGAAAAGTAGGAATTAAATGATTTTAATCAGGTTGGTTACCGACTAAATAAGCGGAAGACACACCCACACACATGCATATACATATATATATATAATTATTCTTCTAAGCACATCAGGATGTGGTAGATCTTGGCTCGCCACAACCTCCTATCGATTGTCGCCTTTAGCAACGTTTGTTCCTTTGCCAAGCCTCCCATTCAGTCATCTGTTCACAGAAGCTAGTCAAGTAGCTATCCCGGTACCCCCCCACCCCCGCCATCTCGCATTTACATTCGATATGGCCTTTGAGTGATAAATTCTCCGAGTCCTTCTTTCAGGTGGCCTCTTTCTGATTCTAAATATATCATTTTTATTTCCGTTTTCATAAAAACTTCCTCGTCGCTTACGCACTCCATGTTATCCTCAGCATCCTCCTGTAGAACTACATCTCTGTTGTCTCCAGTTTTCTCTTCATCTTTGGAGTAACTATTTTTTTTTTTTTTTTTTTTTTTTTCTAATCTATTTTCCTCTTAATTCTTCAGTTTAGGAGTGAATTTTTGCGTCATTCCAATGCAAGTTCAGATATCGATGTCGCGTTTTCCACCCCCTGTTAAAACACTTCCCAGATATTAAAATTTCTGTACTAGTTTCCTGTTGATATGTCCAGTTCCTACTTCTAAATCTTGGCGATTTTCTCTTGCTGACAGCCATACATTCTGTCTTCTTACAATTGGTGGTAGTCTTTTCTTCTTTCTTTCCTTCACTTGGGCTATTGCTTTTGCTGACAAACATCCATTCTGTCTTCTAACTATTGGTGGTATGTCCTTTCTTCTCTCTTCCCTTCACTTGGGCCCATGCTCTTGCTAAAAACCATAGTTTCTGTCTGCTTATAATTGATTGTTAGTCCTTTCTTCTCTCTTTTCTTCGTTTGTTTTTGTCCTCTTGCTGACAACCATTCTTTCTGTCTTCTTACAATTGATGGTTAGACCTTCCATCAATCTTTTCTTCAATTGGGATCTTCCTCTTGCTGACATCCATACTTTCTGTCTACTTACAATTGATACTTAATCCTTTCACCTCTCTTTTCTTCACTTGGGATCTTCCTCTTGCTGGCATCCATACTTTCTGTCTACTTACAATTGATACTTAATCCTTTCACCTCTCTTTTCTTCACTTGGGATCTTCCTCTTGCTGGCATCCATACTTTCTGTCTTCTTACAAATGATGTTTTGTCCTTTCTTCTCTCTTTCCTTTACTTGGGATTTTCCTCTTGCTGACATCCATACTTTCTGTCTTCGGACAAATGATGTTTTGTCCTTTCTTCTCTCTTTCCTTTACTTGGGATTTTCCTCTTGCTGACATCCATACTTTCTGTTTTCGGACAAATGATGGTTATTGCTTTTTTCTTGCTTTCCTTTGATACATTGTCCTGGATTCCATGTTGTTTTCCTTCTGCGTCAACTCACATTTTATTTGGAAAGGCATCCTCCGAGACTCGGACTCGCTTCATTTGCATATAAATCTACTTTCATGCTTAGGCCAGTCCTGTCTCTCCACATCTTCTTGTGTTTGATACTCTAAATAAGTCCCATTAATTTTCTCTTGCCTGCACAATATGCTGCTAGTGTTGAATTCTTTCTACACTGTGTCACAGAAATTCCCGTGCTCTTTTTGTCAGCATCTCTTCCCTTGTATTTTTTTTTCTTTAAATCTTCGTTGTTGCTCAAACGTTCTCTCCATGCCATTCTTAGCATTGGTCGGTAAAACCATATCTCTGTCGCTTCCAATCTCTTCATCTGTGAGAATATTATCCAGTATTCACTGCCTTAGAAAAAAATGATCTCTTTCTTCTCTATAGCAGGTTCACTAATTAGTAAGATTAGCTCAGTTGAATATCAGTTCACAATACGGACATTTCAGTAAAGCTTCTACTCTCTATACTGGCAATCTTCTTTTGTGTACCATGTCCCTGAGGGTGTGGCTAATCATGGCTCATCACAGATTCCTATCCTTGGCCCTTTGTTTGTCTCTATACACGCCCCAGTACATGTTCTGTCACCTATTTATACGTTAGGTAAGTAGGTTACTCCATGTTTCCTGCTTCCAGCTGTCTCTCTCGCCACCAGTATGTCCTGTCTATAGCAA